TGCCAAATAACCAATTTCAAGGATAATTTTTAACAGTCATTTTCTTTTCCTGGAGGACTCGTGGCCATCTTGACTCATTCAAGCACGAATAGGCAGAAACAGTAGGCTTTCACCACAAAGAGGGGACACGGCCTAGAACACCCAACTAGGAAAAGCAAACCCTTTTCATTTGTATAAAACAAAATAAATCATTTTTGTAGGCATCAACACTGTGCAGCATTATTGCAAAGCAAATTTAAATTCTAAAGAAATAACTTCAAAAGACATTAAAAATTTTTAAGTTCTTTGTAAGACTGGGGGTATAGCTCCATGGTGGAGCATTTGCCCAGTGCTAAAGAGGACCTGGGTTTGAGATCCAGCGAAACGGGGGGGGGGAGGTCAGAGAGTCCTTTTTGCCCTAGCCTAGGTCAGTTGAAAAGCACCAAGCACCAAGTACTTCCCCAGAATCTCGGCTTTGGCCATTGTTTTATTGTGGAGTTAGTGCTATCATCTCTAAACGTGTATTTGTTTAACATTACAGTCAATGATCTGCAACGCCAGTGTAAGATAGCTTCAGCAAACGCCCTCCTAGTCCTTGTTCACAAGATTGGAAAACTAAGTGTGGCACTGAGCAGACGAAGCACACTACAAATACATTTGTGACATTTGTCTTTTTGCCGTTGCCCCCCAGGCCATCAGCAATTCCTTCCTCATTTTCCCATTTTGAATACACTTGGAACAGTCCAAAGAACCAAATGAGAATTATTTTCCAGTCTCTTCCCACTACTATCATACCACTTCAAGAATTTCACTATTAGAACATTCTTTAGAGTAAGCATTAAGTCAGCATTTTCCATTTTAACCCTTTCACACTTCACATCACTGCATGCATGTGCAGGTACACACACACACACACACACACACACACCTGCTCAGGGCAGAACACATACCCCTGTGGCAGGTCTGTATTAACAGAGGCTCATACAGCAGCTATATTAGGTCCTGCAATCTTATCACTAAATTATACATATTACACCAGCAGCCTGTTAGTAAAGAAGGTTAAATTAATTTACATTCTACTCATTACCCGGTGCTTAAATGACGCATTTTATCCCTGAGATTTGGCGGCGAATCTCCTTCTCAGACCCCACAGCGTTTCACTGAAGACAATGCTCTTACATTTGTAGTGGTTTTTAATCTGATAAGACTCTAATTTGCTTAAGTCTTTTAAATAAGGGTTTTAAATGTTTCTAGCCATTTTCTTATTGAATTTCCTCTAATTCCCTCAAGATCATAAAGTATATGTGTAAAGTAAATATTTTCTCCCGTTGCACCGCCAGTCGATGACCTATAACTAAGTCAACATGAATCTAGCTCTTTTCTGCCCAATGTGTTTACTAATCATATTCCAGTTTCTTCTTTAAACCTCAGCGTAACTGTGGGTGTCACAATAGCATACCCCTTAATGCTGCATTTCATGAACAGGCTCCGTCGCATCAAAGAATGAAAAATTGTCCACTTCAGTAAGCATACGCTTTGCTTCAAAAGAGGCCAAAGATGTTTTTCAAAACTTCTTTTTCCTGGCAAGTTAAGAAGCTGCAGAGAGCGTATAGATTTCTAGACCAGCATTCATTAACCCCACAGTCCTTGGGTTGAAGCTCTAGTGCTTCTGCTGTTTGGTAGAACTTTCATTTGGTGAATGGACACATGAGGAGGACCTCAACCAGACCCCTAAATGGATGAAAACCTCAAGGGACCCCGTAGTGCTGAAGTATGAGAGATGTTGGAAAGGCTGCGGATGCAAAGGCATCCAAGAAACCTAAATAGATGAAAATTAAAAATTGTGTGGAACCCTTAAGGTCAAGAGAAAAAGAGACATATGATACATGGAAAATGCTGGTTAGAGTGAAAATGAAGTCATGTATCATCTGTGTGTACATATATACAGCTACACACACGCACATGCACACACACACAACTCATTCAAAATTTCTTTGCATTTTCCCAGTCAGTCTTTTTATTTGTTTGTTTTAGACAGGGTCTCCCTGTAGCTCCAACTGGTTTAGAGCTTACTTCCATCGCACAGATATCTGCCTGCCTCTGCCTCTGCCTCTGCCTCTGAGGACTTTCCCCAGTCAATCTTGACCCTCTTCTAATTATTTTATACATGCCAAGCAATACTGACAATCTTCTAGGGACCAACAAGGGTCTCCCTCGGTGTTGAGGGGTGGCAACAAAACACCAACACACTGGTCTACATATGAGAGGGTGGAGACCAAGAAATGCTTCTCAGTGGAGTTGGTGATCAATTCTGGGGACAGGCGCAGGTGACAGAAATGAGGAAGGGGTTGGAAGGAAAATCTTGAACTCACTGAGTTTAGCACTATTGTGGTCTCTACTGGATTCTTCTTGAATGGCTCTAAAAATCACTATGACCTCAGCCTTCATTAAAGACGTTTTCAAACCAGAAAAGAAAAATAGAAAGGAAAGAAAAAAAGCAAAAGTATGGCCTCGTTATGTACCTTATGTTATGTTTGTTATGCTATGCTATGTTATGGCCAAGGAAAGGAAGCCTGGTGCTAGCTTGAGGTTTTGACTCTAGGAGGCACCAGGGGTCGCCTCAACTGGGTTTTCTTGCTACTCTTTCAAAGAAAGACCCTCCAGGAGAGAAATATGTGACACAGGGTCAGGCATGTTTTGAGCTGCTATTTGCCGCCTATTACTGGTCTTAAAGTCTTATTTAATTTCACACTCTTTAGCGTTAGTTGAGCAAACTCCCTCTGGCCATCCCAGTGAGTGGTTGGGCTGGGCAGCCACTTTTGGTAGTTGCTCTAGAGTATGGGCTGGGACCCAATCAACAATCCTCAAATTTTGGAAAGAATCTATCCTCAGAACTCTGAGGAAGATGGCTCAATTTGATGTCTCCCTGAGCTGTCAGGCCCTAAGAGGCGTGGCTGTGCTGCCCAGGCCAGGCTAGCTCAAAAGGCCCACCCCAACTCAACTCAGCTGCTGGCCACATGATAGGCTGTGAGTGTGAGCACATGTAAAGTGTGAGGCACAGGTCACATGGAGACCTTTCATTCCTCTCTAGAAATGATTTCTTATATATTTTAAATATATTTATTATTTTTATTTTATGTGTATGAGTATAGTGCCTGTATGTAGGTAGGTGCTCCTGGGTCATGCAATGCCCTCAGAGGTCAGAAGAGGCCATTGGATCTCCTGGAATTGGAGTTACTGAGCCTTGTTAGCCATCATGTGGGTGCTGGGAATTGAACCCCGGTCCTCTGCAAGAGCAGCCAGTGTTCTTAACCGCTGACCCATTTCTCCAGCCCCAAGAAATGGCTTTGTCTCCTCTTTGCACTGCCCAGCTTTTCACAAACCAGGCTAGTGAAGATCCTTTCTGCTCACAGTCCCTAAATTAAAAAACTGCACTGTGGATGATTTTTCTCAGTCCCTAAGTGCAACAACAACAAAAAAAGTGATGATTTGTTAAAAGGGTTGATTCTACACTGGATCAGAAGCCCAGCGGTATACTGAGCTATCCTCTTTGCATCCCTGCAAAAAGTATGCACGTTTCTGCCCCTCTTTTGCTCTAGTGTAATTGCTCAACCTCTTGAAGTCTGGGGTGACCACCCCAGGAGATGTTAGGGGGCCATGCTAGTGGGTGATATCCATCACTGTCCAGTGAGAAAAGAGGGAATTGGAGGATATTGACACCACTAAGCCAGTAGTTGCTAATGCCTGCTCACATGCGCATGT